CCGCCCCCCCCCCCCCCCCCCATGCAGCCAGCCCCGGGAGTGGTGATGCTATGACAGTAGCCTCATTGTACAGCATGCTAAATGGATGGGTTAAATTGGAATTGTTAGATTTTTATGGTACCCATGTCCAGTGATACTTTTATAGAGTAGGGCCAACAAGTAGCATGTGTAAATGCAAATATCAGTATACTTCGTTTTTTCTAATGAATTTTACAAGCTAGGGAAGAGAAGATAAAATTAATCGTTACTATTTATACTTGCCTCTTCAACCGGATGTTTGTGAAAAGCTTCCGGGCAGCGGCCCTAGTAAACATCTTAAAACCACACTGTAATGCACGAAAGATCACATCAAGGAAAAAAAACAAAAAACAAAAAGATAGCATATTCACCCCATTACAGTACATGAGCTTCAAGGCTTTGACTAAAGTTTCTAAAAAAAAAAAGTCTATGCTAGTGTCAAACCAACAACCACAAGTGAGTGTGTGCTTGGGCGCATGCATGTGTATAAATATTGCAGAAATATACCTGTGTGTCACGAATTCCAGAACCAGCAGTCAAGAGAACCACAAGATGAAAGCCTTTCATAAGAAAATTGCGGTACCATTTCCTCTGAGAAATGAAGGCAAGAAGATCAACTAAAGGCCCCCATAAAATAAGGATGCTAAAGAAAAAAAAAATGAATTAGTGAGAAAAATCAATCAGACTGAACTGTAGCCAAAGCCAAAAATGGGTTGAGAAAAAAAAATTGAACATTCTTTTGGATGGCAAGTTGCTGACCAATTAGAGCATATCACACAAGCAGATCCATGATTTACAAGTGAGTTTCCCTATCACGGCCTTTCTAGCAACTGCATGGATCTGATACGCAAAGCATTACATGGTCTAGTTATTGCAATAGCTATTTTCTTATAAAAAAAGGAAAGAAAAAAATTTACAATGTTTTTACCCTCTAAACTTGTCGTAGCTAACACAAACCTGATTTTCTAGTTTCTCTAAGTCAGTAACCTTGGTTGCCCCATCGGCATCGAGCATTAGAAGTAGTTCACCACGTGAATGAAGCATGCCCTGTTTTACAATGCTTTCACATTCGTAAAAAGCTTCAATGAGTTGTTGTGAACATGGGAGAGAACTAACATGCCCTGTTTTACAATGCTTTCACATACGTAAAAAGCTTCAATGAGTTGTTGTGAACATGGGAGAGAACTAAATTAAAGATTACATAACTGCATCAAAGAACAGCTTAGATTATACTCACTTTTCTAATAGCTTCTCCTTTGCCATGATTTCTACCAAGAAGGATAACCCTTACATTATCCACTGTGTATTTCTTTACAAAGTCAAAAGCTACTCGTTTTGTCGCATCAGCACTTCCATCATCAACAATCACCACCTTTTCAGAAACTCATTTATTTAGACAATGTAAAGATGAAGAAAATGCTAGGAACATAGCTCATCCTCAATAGTTCATAACAGTAATAACAAGCAGCAGAGCATCAATCACTATACAGCTCTCAATTTGTAAATAGAACAGAAAGCTAAACAAAAGGTTTTTAGCTTAATTAGTACACCTAAAATTTTGAGATGAAAGGGATAAAAGCTAACATCTTCATGGAATTCCTGGTAGGATTCTCTTTTCTTGTTTTTCCAATTACAGTACTGTAGCTTTAACCAAAATGATGCTCCAGAAACCACTATCAAAAAACTCATGCATTGGATGATTCTCACAACTATACATTATAACCTATCATTCATCACTAGCTGTGGGAAAAAAAAATGATCCAGCATATTTTAAGAACAAAAGGTACCTCATAAGTAAATGACTTATCCTTTGCTGCACGCTCTTGAAGATAACTACAAAGTGAAAACACAGATAACATTAAAATCCCAATAGCTTAGTTCTATTGCAAATAGTTATGATCCAATTAATTACTTTATGGGATCACTACTAGGAAACTGTATTCCTCATATCTCCTATCCTTATTTTCTCATATACCATAACAAACAAGACTACACAAAAAATGGGTTGAGAAAAAAAAATTGAACGTTCTTTTGGATGGCAAGTTGCTGACCAATGAAAGCATATTGCACAAGCAGATCCATGATTTACAATTGAGTTTCCCTATCACCGTGTTCTCATTTAATTATTGTATTTGTCTAAGTCTACGTCATTTTTGTTCATTGCATTTTGCATATCAGGCAATGAGAATGCTTAAAAAATTTTCTTTTTTAAACAGAAATACAATGTACCTAAAATGCTACAATACTCTAAGCCTCTTCTTGCTCAATACAAACTCCAAAATTAAAAAGCAACACCACTATAATACACTACAATTAATTTGGTTAAACCTACTTGATGGTTTCATCAAGGGCTCCCGGAAGCCTATGCTCTTCATTAAACGCAGGAATAACCAAAGATATATATTTATCGGCAGGATCATGGATATGGGGAAATGGAACCTGTTTTAAGAAAAAAATAAATGTAAGATTCACTTAAAACCTCTTCTATATTTCATTAAATAGCACTGCACATGTGCTGCCATCATATAATACTGATCTAATTATAATAATCACACCATTTCCTCTTCAAAATACCTATTTTTCTGCAAGCACACCTGATTCTCGGTGAAATGTTAGTAATAAAAATCAAAGCCGAGCGAACCCGAAACCATAATTCGATTCAAGTCAAAAGGTTATGTTTTGATCTTTCTCGAGTAACTTAACCATAAAAGCTTCCTGTTTGAACAATTCTAAAGTTAAAACCAATCTAGACAACGAAAAATCACTAAAAAAACAGCTCTCGATAAACAGCTGAATCGGGTCCCAAATAGCGATTTATATCATATAATTCACAGAAAAGATAGAAAATTTACGCCTTCAAATGCCGTAGCTTCACTAAGAAAGGGCATATGGTTAATAACATTCGGCTTCATCTAGTTCACTAGTTCCTATATTATAAATTAAAAAAATTCCCTAAATGAGGCGAAATATTAAAGGAAGCATCATCGTCATGATTTTACCTGTTTCAAGGAATTCGGATCCTCGAAGAAAGCAGGAGCATCAACATGCCTAAAGAAAAAATAAACACAGATTATATATGAATCTTAAATTTAAATTATTACGGAAGGAATTGAAAGAAGAGAAGAGAAGGTACGTGTTGTTGTGTCTTCTTCTATAAGCTTCAGATACGACTGCAGTAAGCAAGAACGAAACTATAATGAAAACTAAGGCTACCAGGAGTTCTGCAATCGTCCATAGAAATCCCATTCTGTTTTACGTTATTTTGTTTCTTGCTTCTCTCTAAGCCCCTCCTCCTTAGACACATAAATGGTATTTTTTATTTAGATTTAATATTTAATTATAATTGGTCAACAGCAAGCCCGTCTAGCTCAGTTGGTAGAGCGCAAGGCTCTTAACCTTGTGGTCGTGGGTTCGAGCCCCACGGTGGGCGTTTGTATGATTTTTCGCTTCGAAACTGATCCAGAACTTCTTTATCTCTTGCCGCTGAATAGCTGTGCCAATCAAATCAATGGTTTTTCTAACATCTTTTTGTTTTTTAAATGGAGAATAAATTTATTTCTTTAAAAGGGAAGGGTCAATGCTAACCATATAGCCATTAATTAATATATTTTAAAAAAAATGGAAAAGAAAAATCTATTCAAATTCAAAAAAAAAAAAAAAAAGAGATGATTGTGTTGGAAATCAACTCAGTTTCAACAATTTAGCAAGCATGTAAAAAATAAAATGAATACTTTGTTAAATTCAAGGTATAAGAAAAAATAAATTCAAGTGTTAAATTATAAAAATATTTTACAAATTTGAATCATAATATAAAGAATAAAAGGTTTAAATTTTTTTTTCAAGCTTATATTTTAAAAAATCAATCAAATGCGTTCGTTAAATAAGAAAATTTCAATGAATGCTTGGTTAGAATCTTAGAACATTCAGTTAAGTTTTTAATCGAACGTTTAGTTCTAAAATTGAGTTTTTCTTCTTTTTTTGTCCAAAAGTTACATATATATATATATATATATATATATATATATTTCGTTACATTTTTTGAATAAAAAACTCAATTATTAATCACTCCAAGTTATAAATATAGGTCTTTCGATTATTTTGAAACAATTTTCTTTCCACTTTTCTCCATTTTACATAAAAATCGACAAGTTTTTTGAAATGTTATTAGAATATCTTTTATTTTATTATACTAGACTATTGAAGTCTCTGTATTGATTTTGAAATTATGTTTACCTTAACTCAATAACCTCAAATTTTATCAGGAGGACAGGAAGCACTTTAAATATAATGTTATTTACATGCTCGAAACACGGAAACCATCTTCAACTTCCCAGCGCATTTTCTCGGGAACTCGGGCACAATGTTCGAGGAGAGTGAAGGCGTAAGTCAAAATGTCTGGAATTAAATCATGTTTTGGTGCGGCTTAGTCAAATTTAGTGCAATGTCAATTCTGGACAACTTTCTCAATACATGCATTTTATTTAGCTGGAAGTCAAGCCCTATAATTGATCCTAGGCACAAAAGATCCTAGTGTTTGTTGTTGGACTGAAGACATGTCGGTGGTTTAATTGTCTAACAAACTTGCGAATCGCTTCTTCAAACTGTTTGATGGCTTTTATATTAAGATCCCTTTGGAAAGCCATCCGTAATGAAACATTTGCAAGTGTTGCTATAAACACATCTGAGATGGTGGTATTCCTCGGATTAAGAAAAAGAAAAAGTGAAAAACCAAGCATTTAGCATCTCCTAGGAGGCAAGTATCATAGTGTGTTTTCAGGTATCGCCTGCTTTTGCATGTTGCTTTTACCTTCAAGAAAGAAGAAAGACAACAGAAAGAAGCCATCCCATCCCATCCCATTCCCGACATAAGTACACTGGAAACCTTTGAATATATATATACACATCGATTCACCAGTACACTATTTAAATTTGATTCTTTTCTTTTTGGGTTCTTTAGTTTCATAGAAGCTAATGGGAAGGACATTTTAATTACTGTAGTTTCGACAGATACCATGTGACAACCAATGATATACCTGTGATCAAACAGCAGAGAGTACTTATGAGTCCAATACACTCCTCTGTGCAGTACTCATGTCACGCTTGTCTACATGCAATTAAACTGTGCATATATTAGCAATGGTGTATTATTGTTGTATATTCAGGAGCAGAAGGAATGAGACTTCCGTGATTCATGTGAAAAGGGAAGGGTAGGAGATGGGCCTTCCCATGGCATGATTAAAGCCATAAGAAGGAATGTGAAAAAGGAAGAGGATTTTCTTTTCTTCCCCTACTTTTGGAGACCATAAAGCTTTGTTAGAGGTGGAGAGGTTGGTCCTTGACATGCTCTCTCTCTTTCTATCATGCCCCATGGCTTCTTCTTTTCTTTTTTTCTTGACCCAAATATATCATCTCCGTATCCTTATCATCAGACCCATAAAACAACGAGCTCTTCGGTCACCATGTGTATTAACCCTTTGGTAGTGCTTGTTATGCAATGCTCGTAGAAGAACCTTCTAGATTTCAGGAAATTTTTGACATTATGGTAAAATGACAAAATGTGAAGGTAGTTAAATAGTGGCACTGGAACAGTAAGTTCTAACTTCAAGAACAATTGAAGGACTGCAAGTATCACTTCGACATTTGGGTTCTCGGGTTGGATCTAAGTTCTTACAAATTGAACTTGAACACAATTTACAAGAAAAGACTGTTGAGTCTTTGGAGAGGGGAAATTTTGGATTGACTGAGGCTGCCGCGCTGCTGATGACAATTACATATATAGCTATGGATCGGCATGATTCATCTGTAATCCGCGGCTCAGTGCAGTTTCTGTGGGATAAATAATAAAAATTTCCCTCGAGAAAAGATGTGAAAGGATCAAGAAGATAATTAAAAGCTGAACGTAACATTGATCATTCTTTTGTTATGTTGGTAAGAAGTTGGTTGTTGTTTTTATTTATTTACTCACAGTTTTCTTGTAATTGTCACTAAATGTTTATCACCAAACACTTGCAAAGAAGCGCTCAAGAAAAAACTAGATCAGTACTGTAGCACTATTGCCTGCAAAGAATATTCTTCTAGAATAATTTTCTTGACAGTATTGTTACCATAAATTTATGAAAGACAACAGAAATGGTAGAAGGAAATGAATAAATAATGATTTTGTACACAAATATTCCTTCAAGATAAGATCACAAGAATATAACAGCACCACTCCCATTTGTAATGTCGCTTACCTCCCTTTCGGAATTGCCAGTTAACTGTGCCACTGCATGTCAAACTGCTGAATAAACTTGCAAATGGAAGACATTGAATTCAGCACCAAATAAACTCCGATTTATTTATTTATTAGACTAAAATAAAGTCCTTCAGTTAATTAGAAGAAAAAGGAAAAATAAAAATAAAATTCCATAAGCAAGATCCCCCACAAATAAACCAATTCCCTCATCGTTAAGGACAATAAGTACTAAAATCAACAAAAGAAAGGGCCTAAAACGAGAAAAAAAGAGCAAAAATAAGCATGCCTAGTGAGCCATGGCGACCTGGGGTGATGCATAGTTGATGCTTCTTTGGTGAGGCATGGCAAGCATAGCAGTGTGATCCAAGAAATCATTGAGTGCAACCACGGACTGTAATATAATCTTTAAATCATCTGCACAAGAGAATCCCATGTTTCCTACACGCCTCACTGCATATACATAAAAAGTAATGCATCCTTTTCTGAACTTAAATCTTGCCATTTCACAACCATTCAGGCCTCTGATAAGTTTCTTGTTTACTTCTCCAAGTGGTATCTCTGGCGGCCATATTCTGTCAACAGCCATCTTCATGGACTCGGATTCGAAGACAAATAACAGTACTTTGGATTTCTTGGTACCAAGACCAAGTGTTAAGGTATGCCAAGCATGGTGTGCTAAGATGGTGAAGTTTGTAGGCAGAAAAGCTGTTGTTGAAGGGAAAGGGGTCTTATTGTTGTCGCTGTTCTTATTTGTTGGTGGATACGAGAGGACTTTTAGAAGCTCGAGTGGCCTTGCTCGCCGGATTGTGAAAGATTTTACAATGAACTGGCCTCCAAAACGAAGACCCTTCACTTCTGAACTAGGTTTGAAAGAAAAATCTGATGATGGTTTGGTGGTTTGATCATTTGGGTGTTGGTGTTTCTGCTTCTTATGGTGTTTCTTCTTCTCTTTGTCTTCCATGGGGGATGTGATTTTTCGGAGGAGGTGGGTGTTTTTGTTGTATGTGATGGCCAACCAATCTAAAACTTTTTAAGTTATGTTATATAGTATAATTTTTTTCTCCGTCTGGGTTTTATTTTTTATTTAAGAGATGACGACAGTCAAGATGAGGGTACCCCTTTACCTAAATTAGACCATCTATATTTGGAATAAATTATAAATTACTTTCTCTGGTTTCGTAAAATGATTTCTTTAATTTTAAAAATAAGTAATTAATCATTTAACTGGAATTGACCATATTTAATTTAATATTTTTTTTAAATATCCTCTTTTGCAATCATTTTCGCTCTCCCATTTGTTTTATTCCTTTCTTTAATTTTAAAGCACAAAAGAAAAATTGGAAAATAAAATAGAACAGGTCAAAAGGATAAGGTTATAAATAGATTTAAAAATACAAGGACGTCCAATTAATTATTTTTAAAGCTAGATGAATTATTTAAATCATTTTGCAAAACAATAAGGATTAATTTTAAAATGAACTCCTATTTTATGCTATCATTATCAATGTCTGCTATGCATGTCACTCCTCCATTAAAAATTAGGTTATTTCAGATGAATCAAATAAGTTTGATTATCCTATTATTGCGTGTGTTATATTTTAATATTTGAGTGTGTCATTGCAATGCAAGGGGCTATTCAGTCTAATCCATTTATAAAAAAAAAAGGCGTCAAATGCCCTTTATCTTCATCACATTATTCCGATCATGGTGCTTTCATTTTAGGTGTAAAGTGGGGTAGATATTATTTTTAAAGTATTTATATATATATATATATAAAAACATTTTAAACTAATATTTTTTATTTTTAAAAATTTATTTTTGATATTAGTACATAAAAATAATCTAAAATAAAAAAATTAAATTAAAATAAAATAAAAATTAATTTTTTATGAAAAATAGATTGAATCACAGGCATTTTTTTTTCTCGATTTTTACTTATTTGCGCACCTTTATTTACATGATGCCTCCCATGGTAGCACAAATAAATGTAAAGGAATGGACAAGTAATGTACGCACAAATAGCAGAGCAGGTATATTAATAACATTTTGCTGTCACGATCTGCTAGTGGAGATTTTCACAAGCATGGTTATATTATTTTTTAAAATGTTTTTAATTTAAAAATATATTAAAATAATATTTTTTATTAAAAAATAAATAAATTTGAAATCTGCGTATCAAAATTAACTAGGTATCTTAAAAAATATAAATTTTTAAAAAATTATTTTTAAAAAACAAGAACAAACAAATCTTTACCGACACAACATCTGCCACCACAAGCATTGGTCAATAACATTGCTAAATAACATCCACCAGAAGCACCCATTTGCCAGACCCAGCATTTCTACTGGTTTCATGAGCACAACACGTGCCACCAGAAGATCTAGGGTTAGAGGTGATTATTTTTTTCCAGATTGGGTTCAAAAGCTCACTAACAGAGGGCTTAGGACCACACTTCGGCAACCCCTAACCGGAAACGAACCCAATCAAGAAGATAACATGTTCCTAGAATCATAATTACACCCACTTGCTTAATTCCTTCCAGTTGACTCTCTAGCTACAATTCCATCTACTTACGCGTACTTTAATATACTTGGAATACTGGACTATCGTTAGGCAATGTGTGGCTATTTGAATGCGCTAAAAGACAAGCTTACAGACACTCGTATTGTTGAAATCACACTCAACAGAACTCCATCCAGTTCACAGCAGCAACAACAATGGTTAGATCAACCATAGGCTGTAACTGGACCCATTAACAATAGTTTGGTGGAAGTTGTTCAGATATATATATATAAAAGAAATGGTTGCCTTTTGTCTTTTTGTTAGAGAGAGAGAGAGAGAGTTTACCTCATTCATGACATCTCATTATAAGTCTTCCCGTTAAAGTTGTTTCCTTCCAAAGGCACCGTCGCCTTTAATCATTTCACGGGAAAGAGATTCCAGTCCAGACTAGAGGTGCTGAGAGAAGACCAGCTAAAAGCAATAACTCTTGCAATAAGGGCCACCACCCCATGGGCCTAACCAAAAGATGCTGCCAGGGTTTCAATCATAGTTGTCAGGTCTGGCTAAGAGCTCAGTTACCACATTTTTGGTCAGCTACTCATGCATCACTGAGTTTAATAAAAAAAATACGGTTGTTTTGGAAACAAAAAAAAAAAAAAATTGATTGGTTCGGTCTCACTTTTTCGTCTGATGAGGTCAATATTGACCTATCAAATTTAATTAAATTTAATAAGGTCAATATTTAAAATAATTAGAAAAAATGAAAACAGTCATGATTTTACACATCAACATGTCATTTTTCTATAGTTTAAATATCATGCGTCCTTGATGAATTCAAAGTCATCCTTCTGTGGCATAAAATGAATCTTGCCGTTACCAACAGATTCTAAAACTTTTTTTTAAAAAAAAAGGTGATTTGTCCACCATAAATGTGGCTTAGTGTATAGAATATTTAATATTATAGTAATAGTTGTTTTTAAAGTATTTTTATTTAAAAAATATATTAAAATAATATTTTATTTTTATTTTTAAATATTATTTTTAACGTCCGCATGTAAAAATAATTTAAAAACTTAAAAAATATTAATTTAAAACAAATAAATAAATAATTTTTAAAAATATATTTTTAAAACCCGAAAATAAATAGAATCTCAATTGAGAAGAGTTGCTGGGATCAATTAATTAGTATCGCACCAAATAAATTGTTTGAACGCAGGTTTTCAAAAACCGTTGCATCAATTGCATGCACTACAGTTGAATGATAAGTAGGCGAACCCTGAATTCCAACAAGATTAGCTGAGTTTCATAAGATGGGGTGTGAAATTGCAGATAAAAGATTTGAAGTTGAGGATCAATATAATTAACTTCTTGTTTTAAACTGCGACAACCACTCCAATGGCAATCGATAATAATCATTCTAGATACTAATTCGATCCATCATTATGTGTTTGCATGATGGGATCAGGAAAAAACACACACACACAAAAAAAAAAAAAGGCTTTTGCCTTTCCTTTTATTTTGGACGTGGTCACAATCGGAGGAGGACATAATAATCAAAGAAATTATATCGATACTGGTAACCACCATATCAAGCATCAACATCAATGAATTATGATGCAGATTAGAGGAAAAAACATAACTAATCAGAACAAACGGAATGGGTTAATGGAGGTTCCTGGTTCTAGTTATAGCAGATCGACAAAAACAGGTTGGTTGTTTCTTTCATGGGACGTTAGTTTTGCATGATTAGTGTCGTGCTTCCCTCTCTCGAGAACTTCCTTGATCTCTAATCTTGCTTTTGCAGATTTTTATGCTATTTACAGTAAACTTAGGAGACGCTTAAATCAGAATTAATGATGCAACTAACACTGCAACGGATGCAAGGTAGATAGTCCAACAACTGGTAAATCAATTATCTGGAGATTGATCCTCAAGACTCAACTTTTAAGTACCGGTCTTCCAAGTACAAGCTTTGATAAAGTTTTTCTCAGGAAATTTTCTATTACACGCTTGAAAAACCACCCACCACTTATAAGCAAACGAAATGTCGGCATCTCTCAGAGGAAAGAGCTCCGATGTTCATTCAGGCCCATGTCATCTTACAAGAGCCCAGGTGTGTGTTTAGAGAAGGCTTCAGCCTTAGTTAAAAGGGCGGCGTGATAACGGTGGCCTGTGGCTCTCCAGACTGGGCCTCTAGTCCTCCCCAATCCTCGTAGAAGGGGGGGGATTTCTAATGGTAACGAAACAAAACAAGAGGAAGAGAGAAAAAACAGGGTGAAGCTCTGCTATTGAAGGCCACAAAAGTGTTCCAACAGCATAGAACTTTGATTTTATTTATGAAAATGAGTGAACAATAATGTTAGAGGGCACCACTGACATCATAAACATTAATGTCTAAGCACAGCTAATAAAATTACATTTGTCATTCCTTGACTTTATAACTATACTTTCAGGGCTGCTATGCAGATGGAAGATTCCCTTGCCACGGGCCCAATCCCTTTTACAGATAGCAGATGTTTAAAGCAATAAAGAATGGATGGTACAGGCAAATAAAATGCCAAATGTTTCGCTGTTTTTTCTTTCTTTTTGGTTAGTGATCCTTCCTGCATTGCTAGTGGTCAGCTACACTCCCAAATTATCACTCAATTGTATTTACAAGTGCCGTGACCTGCATGCAAAGAGAAGGCAGAAAGAATATATTAACAAACAAAATTCATTTCACAATAATTTCTCTTCAATCAAATATGACTTCGTATATATTTATATATAGGTTGGTGGGAAGTTTCAGAATAAATTTACGAATCCCAACCATCTTTTAGATTCTAGGTCTAGACTTGAAGTTGATCAGAGGGATTTATCAGTTAAAGAGAAAAAAATCAAGAGAAATCATAATTTTATAGACTTACTTGGGTCAGAGGTGGTGAGGACAGCGGTTTGAGAGAAATCACAATTGAAATCATTGCGGCCATGGGATTGATAATAAGAGTTCATGATATATGATGCATGGGACCTGACATTGTTTGGACTGAAACAGGCACCGCCAGCTTGAATAGGCTTGCAATCCATACCCTGGCTGCACACATAGTCTATGTTTGCTTGTAAGGCTTTATCAGTAGCGTCAGCTTTCGGAACGCACCATTTCTTGCTTTTTGTAGGTGATGGTGGTGTTGGTCTGTTGGACTGCATAACAAGTAATAAGAAGAAGAAAATTAATCAACAATATGCTAAAGCGAGAATTTGGCTTTCTGCAAGGACTTTAGAGAGGATCTGTCTGCTAGCTAGAATGTGCATGTGATATACTGAATACCTCAGGTTGTTGACATTAGTAATTTAATGTTAATATTGCAGGGTCTGCTTAATATGTTAATTAATTTTGCTTTGTTGTCCCAGGACAGAAATTGGATCAACAAAAGAATCAGAATAAAGAGAGACAAATCGAAGGAAAAAGGAGAAAAGTTGAAGATTATCTCTCTCCAAAACAAAAATTTTGTTGAAAATGATATGAAAGTTTTAGATTAAACTATCATAATGCCGGAAATATGTATTCATAATTTCATATGCAAATAATTTCCTTTTCAATGTTCATCCCAAAAGAACAAACTTAATTTATCAGGTGTTATCTACTATTATCCATAAAAAAAAAAAAAAAGCGAGAAGTTTGACATATTTCATACCTGTCCATTGCGCATAATCCCAACATCATAAACCGGGGTAAAATCTGGCCTAAACAAACCCCAATTCCTCTCTGCTGTTGAACCGGGTTTAAGATTCTCATTGAACAAAGAAAAGACATATGTCTGGAACCGTCGTTTAGGCATTAACGGAGTCCCGTTCCCTGAAGTGACAACCTTAATCATGTTCTTATTATACGAGACTGCATTCTCCACAGTACACATGGGCTGGTTCGGGTCTCCAAGTGAGGGCCAACCGGACTCGGCGACGACAATGTCCAAGTCACCATAACCCATTGCTTTTATTGCCGAATAAACCGCGTCCATCATTGCAACGAACATGTTCGTGTAGGTAATGTTGGTGCTGGTGTCGTGGACACCGCGGTTAGGCCTGAAGAGGATGTAGTTTTCCATGCTCGGAGTGTAGCTAAAATAAGGATACGGGTTAACCATGAGAGGGGATTTGGTTTGACGTAGAAATTGGAGCATGGGTGCAAATATGACCCTGTCATAGCCAGGCCTTATCCGGGCAGCGCTTGGTTGTACAGAATTGTGCAAAATTCCGAGGGTGTGAGGAGTTGAGACCTGCGTAAATTTACGAAAAAACAATACTTAAAAACTAATTTCAAAGTGGTTGTTCAAATCCAGATGTTTATTGATATTTAAAAATAAATGAGGATGCATTCAACACGAAATTGTTGAATAAGAACTTAAAATCAATGTGTGTAAAGTCATTTGACATGGTACGTATATTTTAAAAAACAAATTGGCAACAAAAGGAACATTTTTTTCTTACTTAATGATAATTAAATCTTATTTGATTTGTATAGTACTTGAAGCTATAGCTTATATATAATGATATCTATCTTGAATTTTCTAAAATTATTTTAATGATCAATTCATTTAAATGAGCGCCAATCATGAACTAAATCTATTTGAAGGGGAAAAAAAGGAAAACATTACCGATTACCATATCAAAAAGAAGATCGACTCTTTTTTTTTTTTTATGGAAGTTTTTCATGTGACAATAGAAAGAAGAAACCATCCTACCTGAACATCTTTGATTCCAGCATGAACAAGAGCCTGATGCAAGGACTTCATGCAGGGAACGAGACGAGAAATCCACTCTTTATTACCAGTAAACAAGATTTCATTGCCAACAGCGATGAGTTTAATCCTTGTTTGCGGATAATATGGCTTGATATTGTTTGCAACCCATTGACTGGCGGTATTTACATCGACGAGAGCAGGAATATCACCATTACCTACAGTGACAGTCACGGTGATGTTCGAATTTGCAAAAGCGCGAAGAATATCAGGATTGGTGTCAAAGATTTTGATGCTATCGATAGTTGTTTGTGTTTTAAGGAAGCTAGCCACCTCAGATGGTGACGGAAGATTGTTGGCTAGGGTACCATAATTGACACCGATCGCAAAGGCTGTGGTGGAAAAGTGGAGGAGGGTGGAGATGATGAGAAGGGCGGTAGTGATGGATGTGGTGGCGATAGCGGCCATGTGATCAAGGCTCTCTTTTTTGAGATAAGAAGGAGATGTCGGAAACTTTGTGGTTTTATAAATAAACAAAGAACGTGACAACTACGAGTATCCTGTTAGAGACAGCAAACTTAGAGAGTAGATGCAGAACCAGTTAATTAATCCACAGAGAAGTGCTGAAATATATAGGACGAGCCAGCTGGAATTGGCGTTAAATGTTTTGACTTTTACGATGAATAGACGGAATTCTGGAATGGAAGATATTGATTTGGATATTTCCTTTCCCAGGGTAAATTGAGGCCGCGTGGTCCATTGGAATGGTGGAATGGTGGCGAAGCAAGATGGTGCTGTGAAGAAGCCGTGTTACAAATCCACACGAAAGAAATGCCTTGGGAAGTGGGGGGTATCATGGGAGACTTGTATCATGGATGTGTGCACTGCTGGTCGTGAAATGATGCTTCGATTGTGTCGATGGCAAACGTGGCGGTTGGACACGGGTGGCCTTGTTCTATTACTTGAAATGGAGGCAGATTTATTTTTATTTTTATTTTTATTGTCCTTTTGCAGTGTGAACTTGACCAGTCTACTCGACTGCCTTCGTTTTGGAACATGACTTGCCATTGAGAAAGATTATCTCTTTCTTTGTATTTATTGGAATGAACGCGTAACGCGTACACGGTTTTGCAGATGAGCCCCACCCCGCCCCCCCAATTTTTTTTTTAATAATAACGTGGAGAATCAGATCATTTATTTGCTCCAGCCAATCAATTTATTTGATTCTGTCTGACATCTTTTGCCTTCTTTTTATCTCTTAAGCCTAGGGAGATGAATGTAAGTCGCCTGGCCACCGCCCCCACCTTCTTTCCATTTCATTTCTTTTAGCCGAAGTTTTCACATTTTTGTTTCTGAATTGGAATTGTCCAAAAAAGCTGAACAGTAAGTGCCATCACCACAAATGAAAGCCCAACTGCGGAACACTCTCAGCAATAACATGGCTTGCAAGAAGAACAGTAGTGCGTTTTATGCTGAAATGTCGTACGATTAGATTTCAAATCCATGTTCTTACAACAAACAGGTACATAAATTACTTTTAATTGAAGCACTAATTTTAATTAATTAGTTAGATACTGAGCCATTCGACATTCGATCTCAGATGTATCTGCATGTGCCATGACCTGTACACAAACACAAGACCAAATATTAGACAAAGAAAATAGTTTCCTCTTATCAAAGCACCAATTCTACTAATATTTCTCGAGATACGTAGTTGCAATTCTATTAAAAAAAACAGCATATTTAATCTATTAATTAAACTTAATGAATCAAGTAAAACACATTTCACTTACCTGGGTTGACAGCAGTTAGGACACCGGTGTTGGAGAAATCACAATTGAAAGCTTGGCGACCGTGGGTTTGATAAAAAAAGTTCATCACATACGAAGCATGGGATCTCACATTGTTAGGATCAAAGCAGGCACCACCAGGTTGAATAGGCTTGCAATCCACACCCTGACTGCATGCATAGTCTATGTTTGCTTGCAAAGCTTGATCACTAACGCCAGGTTTTGGCACACACCACTGCTTCCCTGGGGTTGGTCTGGGCCTCTGCCTTCCACCACCGCGACCACTGCCTCTCTACATAACGCATTGGATAATAGAATTTTAAACTTAAGCTCGAACATTATTGAAAACCAGATCAAGCACCTCTAGTAAAAAGAAAAAAATGAATTCTGCAGATCATAACATACCTGCCCATTGCGCAAAATGCCAGCATCGTAAATTGGGGTAAAATCAGGCCTAAACAACCCCCAGTTTCTTTCGGCGGTCGGGCCGGGTTTGAGATTCTCATTGAACAATGAGAAAAGATAAGTCTCAAACCGCCGGTTTGGCATCAAAGGGGTGCCTTTCCCTTGTCTAGAACGTCTAACCAAATTCCCATTGAACCAGGCAGCATTCTCCATGCTACAAGCTGGTTGACCAGGGTCACAAACCGAGGGCCAGCCTGTCTCGCCCACTACAATGCCCACATCACCATAGCCCAATTTTCTCATTGCTGAATAAATAGCATCCAACATTGCATCATACATGTTAGTGTATGTGATGCCAGTGTATCTATCATGCACACCTCTGTTGCGCTTGAAAAGAGCATAGTTCGCCATTTTTGGAGAGTAGCCAAAATAAGGGTACGGGTTAACCATGAAGGGTGATTTGGTTTCCCTTAAAAATTGGAGCATGGGTGCAAATATGGCTCGGTCGAAGCCACGCCTGAACTGGCCCTTACTTGGTGGCTCGGAGATTGAGAGTATGCCAAGAGAATGAGGTGTTGTGACCTGTGAAAAATTGGGAGGAAAAAAAGAAGGTAAAGGTCCATTATTCTTAATTACATTTCAAGAGTATTAATAAACTACCGATCTTTGGATTATCATTCACTATTTTTATCATAAGAAACCTAAAAGAAAGGGAAATCTTCTTATGTAATTATGTAATTACGAATAGTAATACCTGAACATTTCTGATTCCAGCGAGAAGAAGAGCCTTGTGAATGGTCCGCATGGCAGGCACGAGATTAGAAATCCAAGGCTTATTAGCAGTGGCCATAATTTCATTACCAACAACAATCCTATTAATTCTTGTTCGTGGATGGAACGGTGCAATATTGGCAGCAACCCATCCGCGGGCGCTGTTTAAATTGGCAAGGGAAGGAATATCACCATTGCCAACCGTGACAGTCACAGTAATGCCAGTATTGGCAAAGGCATTGAGAATGTCATGGTTTGTGTCAAAGATTTTGATGCTGTCAATGATCGTTTGAGTTTTGATAAAGTTGGCAACCTGGGAGGGTGGGGGAAGGTTGTTGCCTAGGGTCCCGTAGTTAACACCAATGGCGAATGTGGTAGTGAGGAGGTGGAGGAGGGTGGAGACGAGGAGGAGGTGGTGGGAAAGGTTCGTTTTTGCGACCATAGCTAGCTACCAATTGCTCCTTTTCCTGATTTTTTTTTTGTTGAATTTGGATGGAAGATGCAATGGTGGAATTTATGAAGATTAGATAAGAGATTGGCTGGACAGATGGGAAGCGCTGTTAAAAGATAAAGATGAAACCGGCTCCGTGATTTGTGTTTGGTGGCCTGATAAACCAGCTGGGGACCAGAGCAGACCACCTAGCGCAAGTTGACTCTTTTGACCCTCGTCGAGTACCATCAGACGGAAATCATTTTGAAATAGCACTTTGACATTACCGAACATATACAGATACATAATCCTATCTTCCTCTAATACTGTGTATTGTCCTGGACATAGTTAAAAATACCATCTTTGTCTAGAAATCAAGAAATTGTTGAATAATGTGTGTCAAGTAAACATTTTATTCTAAAAATTAAGTTTTTGGGTTAGGATACATGAATTATTTTATATTATTATTTAACAATAACAGATTATACATAAAATATAAAAAGAAAATTCATAAAACTCCATGTGCTCAAGAAAAATAAAATTATATATTCAAGTGTTATAAATTTCAGAATTATTAAAAAATTATCTAATTATTAATTTTAAAATCTTGAAGAATTAATTAAAGCATTCATAAGCTAACTATATAAAAAATATACTAATTATAAAAAATTATAATTATAATAATTAAACTTGTTGTCTATTAGAGAGTTATTAAGCTCGAATGTCCTTATTTATATAATTTTCTTGATATGGTCCTCTATCAATTGATTTTCTTAGTATAATCATTTTATTTATTCTATGTTATTTAAACAAGCCTTTCTATTCGAATCTAGATGTTAAATGTCGAGCCTACTCTTTCTTTTTTCTTCCAGTCCAATATTAAGTTGGTTCAAATTGTCATAGAATTCATGTTAAGTGGGTATCATTGCAACAATCAACAGTAGTCCATAGCCTAATTCAAATTGTCATAAAATTCATGTCGAGCCTGGAAGCATTTCAACATTGGATTAAAAGAGAGAGAGAATTGGTCAAGTGATGAAAAACGAATCCTACTTGTCACGCCACCTCAGCATCTGACAACTAAACTTGGAAGGAAAGACTTCGTTAAGTGATGGGAAATAAATAGTCATAAAAAGAAAAATAATTGATAAAGGGTCACATTAGTAAATTTATAAAAGTAATGGGAATTGTGATCTCATTAATCCGGTAACAACGAGGCATAGAGATGTACTATATATGTCCTTAAATGGAAAAGGAAAGCAATTGCATCCATAATTATTACAGGATCTAGTAGGCCCGACAACGAAATCCATCTGGATTTTCTTTTTGTAGCCCGTAATTTGTTTTGTTGATGTTTTGCATTAAAAATGTTTTTGATTTTTGTATTTGAAATTATTATTTTTTATTGTTTTGATAGGTTAATGTTAAAAATAAAAAAATATTATTAAAAAATATTTTAATATATTTTAAATTAAAATTATTTTAAAAAGAAAAATAATATTTGGAGTGTAATAAATATTGTTTTTCAAAGTATTTTTTATTTAGAAATATATCAAAATAATATTTTATATATTAACATATAAAAATAATTTAAAAAAATAAAAAATACCTTTTCAGCACAAAATAAAAACTACTCTAAATTTTTTAAATAACTATGTTTTCCACTGTAACACTCTTACATCTACTTATTTACAATTAACTTTTGCTTAACTGTACTGAAACTCATAATTCGAATCAATTTGTTTGCATTCTATTAAAATTAATCATACGCCCAACCCTACCACCTATATATTAATCAAATGCTTCGTGCTGTTTATTTTGTTTCTAATTTTAGCCTATTTTCATAGTTAAAAAATATCAAGTTATTGTCTGCATAGTATTAAAATTAATCATAACGATTTTTATTTATTTTTTTAATCTTGCGCTTAGCTTATGAATTTTCCCATGGATTATTGTGTTCTGAAGGGGTCTGTGTGTTGTGCACGCGATCACGGAGTTGTGTTGTGTTGTATTGTTGCATCGAGGAGTCCTGGACAAGCAACATCATGTGATATTGCTTCCAAAAGTCTTGACCTTTGCCCGGATAATAATCGAGGAGAGAATGATAGCAATAATTTAATACATAAATTAATAGATTTTATTTTTTGAAACTCATCAGATGTGTAGACAGGTGAGAACTGTTCAGGTCTCTCTATAAATAGTTGTTTAGCTTTAAAAAAAGAAAAAAGAAAAAAGAAAAAAGAAAAAAGAAATGTTCTGAAACAGCAATTAATGGTTTTTAATTGATCACGTGAATTAC